GTCAGGGCCCCGAGGCCTCCTCAGGGTCCTCCCGGTTTGGGGGTCCCCCTCAGACCTCCCCCCCTTAAGTTCGGGGTCAGGGGCCTCCTCCCCCGCCCTCTGGGAAGCCGCGACCCCCCTCAAGAGCCCCCCCGGCGCCCCCCCTCACCTCCGGGTCGCCGATGCGCCTCCTCGCCGACATCCTGCCCAACTGTCAGCCTCGCCTACGGCCCGCCTCTCCGCCCGGCTCGCGGCGTCCCCCCCCACCGGCCTAGCCAATCCGCGCCGGGCTTCAGACTATCCCTCCGCTCCGATTGGCTGCGCCCCGCGCCAATCCTCGCTCTCTCCCCCGTCCTCTGAGCGTTGTTGCCAAGTCGGACGCACCCCCCCCTCAACGCCGCGGATTTTAAAAGTCCCGGTTCGGCTTTCCCTTTCGCGCGTGCGCTTTGGCGGCCCACGGGCGTCGGTGGTTTCCCCGGGCGACGAGAGACGCCTCCGCGCGTCTTTTTTTTTTCTCTTTCTTTCCCTTCCTTTCCGAGCGCCGCTGAGGCGGGATTGTGACGTAATCAGGGGGGGCTTTGGACGCTTCACCGCGGTGTCCTTCCGCTGAAGGGGGTCTGCGCGGGAGGGGCGGGGCTTGCGGGAGAGAAGTAGTGCCTTTGTTTCAACGCGCGTTCTGAGGCGTGTTTTCCTCCTTTCTGCGCGCACACGTGTTCTGTGGGGTGTAGCTCCCCTACGGGTGCATTCAACTAAACTCAGAGGATCTTGATGTTTCCCCCTTGATGCCCTCATCTGTATTGGCTGCTCATTCTGGGATCTGGAATCCCAAACCATCTGAGGATATATGTGGTTGTGTGAATACAGCCAAGGTCCCGCCCCCCCCAACTCACCATCCCCATCCAGGGCGTGGGACTCATCTTCAACCTGAAATATTAACATTAAATTCCAAATCACTTCTGGTTTTTCGTTCATAAATCGCAAACCTTGCCTTCCAGACGACCCTCCCAATGAAGAGCAATTGTGCACAGAAACACCTCAGCTTCCACAGGCTGTTTTTGTCTGAATGGATCCCACTATTTCATATGCAATTATAGGTTTTGAAGAAATTAAGCTCTAATGGGTTGCATTCACACAACAAACTTGATTCGGTACTGAAAAGAGATAAAAAAGCATTATTCCATTCCATATTTTCTATTCTATTCTATTGTATTCTATTCTATATTTTATTATACTGTTCTATTATATTCTGTGTTTATTATTCTATTCTATTCTATTCTTATTATTCTATTCTATTCTATATTTTATTATACTGTACTGTTCTATTCTATTCTATTTTTATTATTCTATTCTATTCTATTCTATTCTTATTCTATTCTATATTTTATTATACTGTTCTATTCTATTCTATTTTTTATTATTCTATTCTATTCTATTCTATAATCCCATTCTATTCTATTCTATTCTATTCTATTCTATTCTTTTCCTATTCTATAATCCCATTCTATTCTATTCTATTCTATTCCTATTCTATAATCCCATTCTATTCTATTCTATTCTATTTTTATTATTCTATTCTATTCTATATTTTATTATACTGTACTGTTCTATTCTATTCTATTTTTATTATTCTATTCTATTCTATTCTAATTATTCTATTCTATATTTTATTATACTGTTCTATTCTATTCTATTTTTTATTATTCTATTTTTTATTATTCTATTCTATTCTATTCTATTCTATTCTATTCTAAATCTGTGCCGGTTGCCTAAATTTGGGTCACACGGCTGTGAGGATGCTGTGATGGTTGTAAGTACGTGTGTGTGTGTGTGTATGATGAAGTCACTATTTTCAGTGCTATTATAACTGAACGGTTGCTAAATGATTGGCTGTAACTGGAGGATGACCTGTATGCTGGATTTGCATCCAAAGACCCGTAAACTGACCTACAAATTTGATTTTATGCAGCCTAGCAGACTTCAAGCTGATGGGGGCAATGAACGCCAGACCTAAATGTCACCATCCATCACGTCCTGAGGAATCTGGTCAGGATAAATTGAAAGAATAACCCAACAGGACACAAACTGAGTTGTGTGTGTGTGTCTCTGTGTATAATTTATGTTAAGATCAATTTAACGAGGGGCAACTCTTAATATTAGAATTTATTGAGATGGGGGAAGGAAAGAAGGAGGGAGGGAGGGAGGAAAGAATGAAGGAAGGAGAGAGGAAGAAAGAAGAGAAAGAAATAAGAACAAGGAAGGAAAGAAAGGAGAGGGAGGGAGGGAAGGAGGGAGGGAGGGAGGGAGAGAGGAAGAACGAAGGAAGGAAGAAAGAAAGAACGAAACGAAGGGAGGGAAGGAAGGAAGAGAAGGAGGGAGGGAGGAAGGAAGGGGAGAAAGAAAGGAACGAAGAAGAGGAAAGAAAGGAAGAAAGAAGGAAAGGAGAAAGAAAGATGGAGGGGAGGAAAGAAAAAGAAAGGGAGAAAGATAGAAAAAGAAAAAAGGGAGAAGAGAAAGAAAGGGAAGAAAGAAAAGGAAAAATATGGAAGGCGGGAAGAAAGAAAGAAAAAGAAAGGAGGGAAGGGGGGAGAAAGAAAAAGGAGGGAAGGAGAGAGAGAAGGAAGAAAGAAGGACAAAGCGAAAAAAGAAAGAAAAAGGAAGGAAGGAAGGAAGACCCAACTCGGCTTCCCCCACTCACCCCAGCC